ATACATATATATGTTATATTTCTCATGTGTGTATGTATATCATTATCTACGAACGTCAAAATTTATGAACTTCTAACACATACACATTGCGTGAATAGTAACTCGTATTATATTCGTAGCACAAGTTCGTACTGATCCTTATAGTATAAGGGAAGCAACAAACTTAACCTACATAAAAATCCGCTAAGACCTACAGTCCGAATGTGCGTTGCGACTGTTTTGTAATATAGGGTGTGCTCTGCCCAGCTTTTGAGGTCATCAAATACTGGGCAAAACACCATCTCTTAATCAACAAGAATTTCTTTTATTAAAATTACAATAACAATAGGTCGGTTTTGTGCCTGCACCTAACCAACTTTAAAAGCACAACTAGCCAATAACTAACTACTCGTATTGTAGGCCTCTGAGTCTCATAGAGGGAATATCGATCACCTCTCGTAAAGAAATGAACAGAAGCATACCGAAAATATTCAGACAGAAAACACATAAAAAATTCAAACTAAATCATTAATATATGCAATATTGTGTTGACCATCACAACTCGAAAGTGTGGCAGCATTTTTGACTTATAATTCTACACGTTAGGGTATTGGGTTGTTGTCAGATACAGCAGACCGTCCGAGAGTTACCTCGTATTCTACATATCTAATGGTACTTATAAAGAATCAATGAACTTTACACATTATAGCCTATTCTGCCGTTGAACCATCATAAAATTCAGTGCGCAGTGATAGTGTTTCTGATCTAGACATGCGCGTGAGCAGTATATACGTACGACGGGCTACAATACGAGTTACCCGTGCGTACAAACCATTCATTCAGAAAATATAATAAACTTTCTTTTGATTGCAACGCGCCAAACTAGATGCCAGCATCAATTGGACGCCAAAGTATATAAAGATATCATTCTCTTGCTTACTGCTAACTAATGATATTATGTTAGGCACTTAAGTAGAAAAGTGGTGAATGTTAATAGATACAGGGAGAAAGAGGAAAGGGGAACAGGGAGATAATTTAACAGTTAGACTTATAGAAGCAAACCGAAAGGAGGAATAGATTTATCAACTGATAGAGGTAGAAAATGAAAATAAATAATAATACGAAATCGATAAAACCTTTGATTTTGCATTAGAATGGGTAACCACTCTACATGTTTAAACTGGAGCTGAAGTTGACCAATGCTCACAACAATCAATGACAAAGACAACAAACAACACTTCTGTGGCGAGCGGACGGGCCGAAAAAAACGTCGGGCGTCGCGCGTCACAATCTTAACGTCAGACAACTCTCCGAGAAACCATCCCGTATCGTGTACCGGCACAATCCGTCGGGGGGAAACGCACAACATCCCCCCCGCAACCATATCCGTGTGACGCGCGCAGCCCCGGCCAGAGCCACGTCCTCCTTTACTGCTCCCCGTGTATCGTCAAGCAGTGAGTGGTGCGGTCCGCCCCCAGCTACAAGCGTGCTCAGCACGTGCTCAGCACGGCGTGCTCAGCACGGGGCCCCGGGAGGCCCGCGTGCCCGGCCCTACCGGCCGCCCAATGGGCCGCCCCCCGCCGAGCGGTGCGCGCAAGCACGTCGGTGAAGGACATGCAGCTCGACGGGCTCGCCCTGTGGCAGTGCCCCCAGACGGGGGAGGCGCGCCGCGTAGGCCTGCAATTGGCACAAGACGCGAGACAAACAACAATGACAAAAGGGTTTTGCCACGGGTCGGTGGCTGTTCTCCGGGCGCCGACTATACGCCCGTGTTGGACGCGGCGATGTACGCGCTGTTGTTGCAGATGTACGACACGGCCGACTCGTGGCCAGGCGCCGCGCCCACCGGCACGGGCACCACGACCGGCGGTGGCGCGCGACGCGTCGACGACCCGTTGGTCACGTAGTACGAACTCTTGCGCATGGACGCCGACGACGAGCCCACCACGGCCACCGTCTCGTAGTAGCGCAGGCGGCCGCAGCAGCGCCGCGACTGCAGGATGGCCTGGAAGCCGCGCCGGAACTTGTTGTTGAAGAAGGCGTACAGGATGGGGTTGATGCACGAGTTGGACGCCCCGAGCCACTGCGCCACGGGCGTCGCCATGGCCACCACCTCCTCCTCCCAGGGAGAGGGGGCGCCGCCCAGCTTGACGCGCGCGAAGATGATGTAGAGCGGCAGCCACGACAACACGAACAGGATGACCACCACGACCAGCATCTTCACCACCTGTGCACAGAGGTCGCTTTCAATCAACTGAGGACACTCTTCCGACCCACGGCGGCCCATCCAATACGTGTGGGGAGTCCCAGAAACGAGTACGTCCGTCTTTTGCCGTTACTGAACATCAGTTCATTCAAATGAAAGCTCTCATAGCGCCTGGTAGGTAGGCAACGGCTTGCCTGCAGGGCATACGTGCACTGCAGGGTGGCCTACCCTTAGTATCGCAGGCGCCAAGGTCTAATCATTTGTCGAACACCCAGAAGACTGTTTAGTCCAGAGAACAAAATTCAAAACCGACGTAATTTTAGCTCTGGAGACTAAAATTTATCCGTGGTGACGAAATAATTTAGTCTAGCTGACTTAATTTGATTGGTGCGACCTGCGACCACATTGAGTCAAAAACTGGGTTACTAAATTTTAGTCGGTTTTAGGAACTTAATTTTGTTTCTTACAATCCTGATTGAGTTGCATCAACTAAAATGATTCTCTGGGTGAATGAAAAACAAACGGGCGTACTTTCTGGAGGATCCCCGGATTGGGGCACATGTTCGTACCACCGTACCTTGACTTTGGACTTTTGCTGCATCCGCTCCATCTGCGCGTCCTTGGAGTCGGACGGGATGGACCGCCGCCACACCTTGATCCAGATGAGGACGTAGCACAGCGAGATGAGGACGAGCGGCAGCACGTAGCAGCAGAGGAGGTTCGCCACGAGGAAGTACATCTCGCCGCTCATGTTGTTCGGCCACACCTACAACCAGAGTTCAGGGCGTGTTCATGCAGTGGACTAACTGGAACCCGCTAAATTTGGCAGTTATTCTTGCGCGTTTCGTTTTTTGGAGTCGCGCGTCCCACCTCCACCACGCGGTGAATGCATTTATACGTTTTTGTTTTAACGTTTGTGCAAACAGGTTACACCTAAGTTACCTTTTGAACCAATTTGTGCGCAAAAATGCATGCTTTCCAACAAATGAATTCACGAAAGTGTTCAAATCAACGCCGAAATGTGTGCAAAAAAATTGATTGCTTAAATTCTTACATACAAATAAAGATACAAAGCCAGTCAGTTGGACACACACCTCTCTGCACATGACGATCTCATGGTGGTCTCCGATCGGCGTCATGACCGTGTCGAAGAAGAGCATCCAGGGGATGGTGGTGCCGCAGGCGATCACCCAGATCACCACGATCATCCCTCGGGCTCGGCGCGTCGTGATCTGGCACTTGAGCGGGTACCAGATGGCGAGGAACCTGCGCAAAAAAAAACAAACACAACCCAGGTAGTTATTATCTCGTGCGAACAAAGCGGCACGCGCCCAATGTGCGTGACTTAATTATTTGCATTCCGAGGCGGGCGGTGTGCGAACGCCCCGCGGCGGCGCCTCAAACGCAGCCGGCCGACAGCGCGGCACGGCATGACGGTAATTGACCAAGTTACACTCGTCGACCGGCCCGTTTTATGCAGGTGATATTTATTTTTATCTAGTCACCAATCAAATTTTATATTTTATCCATCATTTCCCGCCCTTTCCCGCCAGCATCCACGCGGCGCGCGCACACGCCGCGCACTGCATTCCCTCCCTGGGCCCCACATGCATTCCATTCTCAACAGCATTAATCCGGGACCCGCAAGCCTCCCCCGTGAAATTGCATATCGGCTGCTTGCTCCCATTCCGCCCGTGAATTCGGCGCAACCACGGCCATTAGAGCCCCACAGTCTCACAAGGGCCAAAGGGCCATAGGGCCCCCGGACAATAATCCAGTGGAAGGCATCCCTCCCTCTCCGGTCGGGCTCCTGGACAATCCTCCAGTGCAGGACCTTCCTCTGCAGTAAGTGCAACTGAAAAATCCAGGCCCTTTTCTTCAGTCGGGGCCCTAAGCAGTCCAGCAGAAGTGGAAAGCCCTCCTTCCCGCATTTAGGGCCCTGGGCAATCCAGTGCAGAGGGCCCTGAACAATCCAGTGCAGGGCTCTCCTCTCAAGTCGGGCCCCTGGACAATCCAGTGCAGGGTTCCCCTCTCCAGTAGGACTCCTGAACAATCCAGTGGAGGGCCCTATCCTGCCCTCCTCTCCAGTCGGGCCGCTGGACAATCTAGTGCAGGGCCCTCCTCTCCAGTCGGGGCCCCTGGACAATCCAGCGGAGGGCTCTCCTCCCCTCTCCAGTCGGGCTCCCCACTCGAGTGCCGGCCACACCTCACCCGGGCCGCCCGCCACGCGCCGCCAGTGGCCGGCGCGGCGGCGCCGAGGACCCTCGACGAGCTCGTTGTCATATCGACGCGGCCCCCCGCCCATCCCGGCGGACATTTGACACGGCCCATTTAAAAGACTCCCCCCCCTCTCCCCCAGCCCCGTTTGGTCATTTCGCTAAGCAGCGGCCGCTTCAACACGTGGCGCCCGCCTGCTCTCGTGTGTTAGAGCCGCACATGCACTCTCGCTCTCTGCGTGGACAGATAAAGACTGATTGTCGCCCAACGTGTTGCAGTGGCGATTGCTGCTGCTCCCCTTATCGCGAGCACCGCGAGTCGGGCGAGGCCCGGCGCTGAACTTTCTGCGCAGACACGCTAACGGACTAATTGGCAGGCAGGCAAGCAGGCGGTGCGGCCTTCCCGCTCCAATATGGCGCGCCATTCGCGAAATGGAACCGGCCTGTGTCTCTCTTTAGGCCCCTTTTGCCGTCCGGAAGCGCATGACGTCACGACGGCGTCTAGCTCACCGCGGGCGGCCAAGGGGAACCTGTACAGTGTGTGTGCGTTAGTGAGCATGAACTTGATCGCACACACGACAGTTACCCCACCTAGATAGGGGCAGACTACACACACACATTAGTGCGCCACAAAACTTAAACCGTCATTTTACCACAGATGAGTTCAGTTACGTGCAACAATAAACGGATAGCCCGTATGGGCAGCGCCCACTCCATGTGGACGGTACAGGACGTGCCTCGTTTGTGTCAAAGTTTGGCATCTTTCTCCAGCCAGAAAAGAATTATTGGACTAATGCCTAATATACAGGGTGGTCCATAGACCCCTTCCTTTACTTTGCTTTTACTGTACCGCATGCAGTCGTGCGGGCGGGCTTGCCTAGGCCGTCGCTCACCACGGCGCCTTACGGCTCCATAGAGTATGCAACCCGTCAGCACGACTGCATGCGGTACAGTAAAAGTAAAGTAAAGGTAGGGTTCTATGGACCAACCTGTATATACTCATGTTTAATGTGTCTACTAAAATACACCATATTGGAGTTGCCTGTTTTTGTCTGTCCCCCTCTTTCTCTGGCTCGCTCCAGCCACGCGCCGTTCGGTCTTGCCGTTCGGTCTTGTCCGTGGTCATGGTGCCAATCACACGGCCTAGGCCACGGCCGCAGTGGCTCCCCACCGCCTCGGCGCGCCTCGTGCTTCTGGCAGCCGCTCTGATCGCTCCGGAAAGTAATTGGGCAAGAAAAAAAGGGGGTGGGGATAGGGAAGGAAGAAATAAAAGAGAGGAGAGAGGGTACCATCTTTGTTTTGTAAAAAGAAGCCGTTTTTGGTGAAGTGTAGTCCAATGTTTCTGAACACCACTTTATTTAAATTTGTGTGGAGACAATCTTTTCGCAATGCCCTTCCTAGTATCGATTATTGAACACATTCTCTACGGAAGTTTTTCATATATTTTCCCAACGTGAACGCTTTGTCCACAGTCCGATACGACACGGCAGCTCCGACCACTCCACCAAGGCGACCCCGTGTCTTCCCCGGGTGGAGATCTTTTCAATCCCCCTTCCCCCGTCATCCTCGGTCGGGTCGAGGGGCACCTCATCAGTCAAACCGTCTCTGCTGGTCGCGTTGCGGCCGGGCCCGGCCGGCGGCCGCCATGCCATTGCCTCTCTTCGCTTTTATTCATTAGTTTTGTTTGGCGACGTCGCCCGCCCGCGCCCCGCCCCACCCCGAGCCCCGCAAAAAGGCAAGGTTCCTCGCAAAAAGAGGAGGACGGCCTCGACCGCTGCTCCGCGGCGCGGCGGGCCTGCTGCCCCTGCTGCTCACCCTGGCGGGCGCGTTACAATATTCGGCCGGCCGAACGACCGAGATTAATGCGGCCCTATAGTGCACTGAGGTGGTCGCGATCTCCCCCCTGGAGGAGAGACAGCCACAGCGGTAGAGCGATAGAGCGAGGGGGTCCGGGGGGAGGGGGGGCAACACGCACTCACACACCCGCCCCTGAATGGCTGCCAACTGCTGAGGGAGGGAAGATCATGGAGTAAAGTTTTGCAGGAACGCCAGCCGACCCTGTAATGGCAGATCATTACTGAGAGGAGTGGGGAGAGCAGAGCGGTTGGGAGAGTTGAGGTCCCCCCCCCCCCCCAACCGCCTCTCTATCCCTCCGCCACCGCCACCACCGCACTTTGGTACGAAGAAACAATATCATTCCGCTGCTCAATCTTTGGTGAACGAGCGGAGCAGAGCCCAGCGGAGTTCCCTAAGGCCTCCCGCAGGACTCCGCCCCGCCCCACCGCACCCGACCCCGACAACAGAACCCAACTACCCCCTCTGCGTTGGCCATGACCGGCGGGTCGGGAGGTGGTGGCGCTGCAGCGGGGTCTGCTCCGCTGACGAGGGGCTGCCAGAGGGTGGGGAGGAAGGGG